CCCCCCCCCCCCTTCTCCTTCCCCCCTCCCTCTTTCTTCTACCCCCACTGATAGTGGTCCTGAACTGGGGGTGAGTATTTCTTGTTCCCACCCGGAACTGCCGTGGATCAATTTTCATTTTCCTATCCAGCTTCCCTTTCCCGCACCCGCTTGGTTGCCTGCTCAAGCACTTGAGTGGTGCAAGAACACAAGAAAGAAATAAAAACATTTGAAGGTTCAATTAGAGTACGATTTGCATTGACATCAGTTAGACTGACCTGTTCATATCTCTAGTTAGGATTGAACCAACCTATATTATCACTTTAATGATTCTCATCTTCCTCCCGTTGCCCTAACTCCGACCTACACTTTTCTTCCCTCAACTTTCTTCTGGTGTTCATCCTTTGCCTGGCCGCCACTTCTCCCCAACCAACTGAGGCAGAGACTGAAATCAATTTCCTATCCTGGTTCAACCGCTTGAAGTTGACCTTCTCCATACACCATCTCTACGTGGGCATATCCTTACATCTCCATCAGCAATATGCGTCCCGAAATTGAGCAAGAATTGGCGCACACCCTGCTGGTTGAGCTGCTGGCCTACCAGTTTGCCTCCCCAGTGAGATGGATTGAAACGCAAGATGTCATACTTGCAGAGAAGCGGACAGAACGGATCGTTGAAATCGGCCCCGCGGATACACTGGGTGGTATGGCAAAACGGACTCTTGCCTCGAAATATGAAGCATACGACGCCGCTACCTCCGTGCAACGCCAAATACTTTGTTATAACAAGGATGCGAAGGAGATTTATTACGATGTCGACCCTGTGGAAGAAGAGGCCGACACTCCTCCAGAGCCCGCTGCTGGGACTCCGGCCCCCGCTGCGCAGGCCGCTGTTGCTGCCGCTCCTGCGGCAGCCGCTGCTCCGCCTAGTGCTGGACCTGCCGCAGCAATCGAGGATGCTCCTGTCACAGCAGTGGATGTCCTCAGGACATTGGTGGCGCAGAAGCTTAAGAAGAGCCTGTCCGATGTGCCTCTGAGCAAGGCCATCAAAGATCTTGTCGGAGGTGGGTACCAGCACGAATTAGCTGAGCAATGGTTTCAACTCATACTAACCTGGTGCAAACAGGTAAATCCACACTACAAAATGAGATTCTTGGAGATCTGGGCAAGGAGTTTGGCTCTACACCTGAAAAGCCGGAGGATACCCCCTTGGATGAATTAGGTGCATCCATGCAGGCCACATTCAATGGTCAATTGGGCAAACAATCCTCTTCTCTCATTGCCCGCCTGGTATCGTCGAAGATGCCGGGTGGATTCAATATCACTGCCGTTCGCAAATACTTGGAGACGAGATGGGGTCTGGGTTCTGGCAGGCAGGACGGTGTGCTCCTCCTCGCGCTTACAATGGAGCCACCGTCTCGTATCGGTTCGGAACCAGATGCCAAGGGTTATCTCGACGATGTGACTAATAAATATGCTGCCAGTGCTGGCATAAGTCTGTCGGCTCCCACAACTGGAGGTGATGGCGGCGCCGGCGCCGGCGGTATGCTCATGGATCCCGCCGCTATCGATGCCCTGACGAAGGACCAACGCGCCCTGTTCAAGCAGCAGTTGGAACTCATTGCTCGCTACTTGAAAATGGATTTGCGCGCTGGTCAAAAGGCGTTCATCAACTCCCAGGAGACCCAGAAGACGCTGCAAGCGCAGCTAGACCTTTGGCAAGCCGAACATGGCGACTTCTATGCCTCTGGCATTGAGCCAGCGTTCGATCCTCTCAAGGCCCGTGTCTACGACTCCTCCTGGAACTGGGCTCGTCAAGATGCTTTGAGCATGTACTACGACATCATCTTTGGAAGACTCAAGGTTGTTGATAGGGAGATTGTGAGCCGCTGCATCCGTATCATGAACCGGTCGAACCCTCTCCTTCTAGACTTCATGCAGTATCATATTGACAACTGCCCCACTGACAGGGGTGAAACGTATCAGCTTGCAAAGGAGCTTGGTGAGCAACTTATTGAGAATTGCAAGGAGGTTCTTGATGCTGCTCCTGTCTACAAGGACGTTGCTGTTCCTACTGGACCTCAAACCACCGTCGATGCCCGAGGAAAGGTTGGTTACGAGGAAGTCCCTCGCGCCAGCGCCCGCAAACTAGAGCACTATGTCAAGCAGATGGCTGAAGGAGGTCCCATCTCGGAGTACAGCAACCGCGCCAAAGTGCAAGATGACCTACGCAGTGTCTATAAGTTGATCCGCAGGCAGCACCGCCTCTCCAAGTCTTCGCAGCTGCAGTTCAACGCTCTCTATAAAGAGGTTATCCGCGCCCTGAGCATGAATGAGAATCAGATCATTCCACAGGAGAACAGCAACGGAAAGAAGTCTGGCAAAAACAGTGTCAAGCGCAATGGTAGCCCTCGGTCGGGCAAGATTGAGACCATCCCTTTCTTGCACCTGAAGAAGAAGAACGAACACGGCTGGGATTATAACAAGAAGCTCACCGGTGTCTACCTCGACGTTCTGGAGTCAGCAGCTCGATCTGGTCTCACATTCCAAGGCAAGAATGTTCTCATGACCGGAGCTGGTGCCGGTTCCATCGGTGCTGAGGTGCTGCAGGGCTTGATCAGCGGTGGTGCTAAGGTGATTGTCACAACGAGTCGATTCTCCCGTGAGGTCACCGAATACTATCAGGCCATGTACGCCCGCTATGGCGCTCGTGGCTCTCAACTCGTCGTTGTGCCCTTCAACCAAGGTAGCAAACAAGATGTCGAAGCATTGGTTGACTATATTTACGACACTAAGAAGGGTCTTGGCTGGGATCTGGATTTTGTTGTCCCATTTGCTGCCATCCCGGAAAATGGTCGGGAGATCGACTCGATCGACTCGAAGTCTGAGTTGGCCCACCGCATCATGCTCACAAACCTGCTCCGACTTCTTGGTAGCATTAAGACACAGAAACAAACCAATGGCTTTGAAACCCGCCCAGCACAAGTCATCCTTCCTTTGTCTCCCAATCACGGCACTTTCGGAAATGATGGACTGTACTCGGAGTCGAAGCTGGCTCTGGAGACTCTCTTTAATCGCTGGTACTCAGAGAACTGGAGCAACTATTTGACCATCTGCGGTGCTGTTATTGGCTGG